TCTGTCCGTCTCTACAATACCCATGGTGCGGAGAATACAGTAGCACTTCTCTAGAAAACCATGTGTATCCTCTAAACCTAAGCCACTGTAAGTAAAAGGATTACACTTCTTGAACGTCTCAAGCCTAATCCGCTCTTCCTCAGATGCCACAGCCCTAACCTCGGGATGAACTCCTTAACAGGCTACGTTGGCATAACCTATAGGACTTGATCAACATGGACCCGCTACTCTAGAGTACAGGCCGCGGGAGTCTAAACTCCTCCCCTAGCATGAGATGTGGCTTGTGCAAGTGGAGTTAACCCCGCCTGAACTAGAGTACCGTATATGCTTAAGAACTATGCGAGGATTTCATGAAGTGCAGGGGTGGCAATAGGTGCCTCGGGTGCATGTCCTCCAACTAGAGCTACTGGTGGCTCCTCAGTCGCAGCTCGGGCAAGTGCTCTAGCTACACCACGTGCCCCTTCTCGGCCTCTGCCCTAGCCCCGTCCTCTCGCGGCTCTAGCATGAGGCGCGGGTGTCTGATCGTCGGATCCAGTGGTGCGTGTTCTCACCATCTGTGAGAGAATAGAAAGTCAAAGATTTAGATTTCGAAGTCAACTAATTCGCACAATAAGGAATCAAAGAAGTGAAAATTTTGCTTACAGTCTTGTAGCCACTCAAAGATTAGTACATATGTCTCCATTTATCTTATACTGCCTCATATTCATGTTTCTCAATTTTAATCTCAATCTTTTCTTGTACCGCCACATGAGCCTTTTATTCAGATAGTTTTGAAATTATTTTTCCCGAAATAGCTACACGCACTTTAGCCCACCTTATGACACCGTGTGGCTTCAAGTTATTCCCTTACTATCAACACATACATAATTCCCACCTTATGCTGCCTTATGTACATTAACCCATATCCTTATACCAATGCATGCACTTCAATATCACAACACAATAATAACTTACACCACAAGTGCCCGTATGTCACAACTTGCCAAAAACCAACAATATCAATATTTTCATAACAATAGCCCATGGCTCAACCACATTGTGTACAAGAATATCAACAATAACCATGAATGTGAATTGCTCAGCAAGAAAAATATCTCAACAATTAATAACTTTGCCTCAATGTGATAACGACTTTCATAACTTCAACACCAATAACTCAACAAGAAGATAATTCACGAAATAACAACTTCAAGTAAAGGTAATTCAACAATTAAGGATGTAACAAGGCAATAAGGAAAGCAATAACTTCAACTAAAGCATAAGAGTAAAGTAGCAAGTAAGATGTACAAGTGTTAACAAGGTCAAATAAGGCAAGTAAGGTTATACTAATATAAGTAAGAGTAGATTGACAAATGAGAATTAAAACATGATATGACAATTCAATTAAAGTCATGGAAAGAGCCTAAATAACCTAAACCGATCAAATATCACATATAACCCGTGTATCCACTCGTCACCTTGCGTACATGACTTTCGCATAACACGAATAGTACAATCAATCCCAAATCCTAAGGGGTAGTTCCCCCACACAAAGACAAGATACTTACCTCAACTAGGCCAACTCAACCCTCGAAAATAGCTTTTTCCCTAAAATTAGCCTCCACACGGCTCAAATCTAACCAAAATTGACTTAATATAATCAATAATGCAAGAGAAACAATTATAATAGATAATGATATGATCTTTACAATTTTCCCAAAAAGTCAACAAAAGTCAACTTGAGGCTCGCCCGGTCAAAACCCGGGTCCAAGGGTAGATTCGGACTACGCATAACCCCACGAGTCTATACATATGATTAGTTTCAAAATTCCAGTCCAAATTGACTCTCGAAACTCAAAATCTCAATTTTCAAAAACATGACACAATTTCTCAATTTTTTATCTTTGATTCACATAAATTTGATGGTAACACTAGTATATAATCATGAAATATAGTTAGAAATTCATTAGAATAACTCACCCAATGTTTGTAGATGAAAATACCCTCACCAAATCGCCTCCTAGTCTAGGGTTCTATAATGAAAGAATATGTTGAAAAATCCCAACTCCCAGCCCTTTTGATCAGTTGCAGTTGTCGCAATTGCAACATGGGTTCGCAATCACAATTGCAAACCCTTGCAATTATGAACCCTCGCAATTGCGAATAAGTCCTTGTAAATGCAGCCACTGACATCCTTAGAGGAAATTGCAAATGCGACATTGGCTTCGCATTTGCGAAGCCTATCCTCCTCGCAAATGCAACACCTTTGTCGCAAATACAAACTACCGAATCTCCTGCAGTACTTCGTAATTGTGACCTAGGTATCAAATTTGCGATACCTGAGACCCCCCTGCTAAGGTTGCAATTGCGAACCTGGTGTTCGTAAATGTGACACCAAAGGCATCAACACACAAGATTCCTGTTTTCATTCCAAATGAAACATGTCTGAAACTCATCCGAGACATCGGGGCTCCAAACCAAACATCCACACAAGTATAGAAATATCATACGAACTCGCTCACACGAGCAAAACACAGAAAGAACATCTAGTACTATGAATCGAATACCAAAACGCGTGAATTTCAAAGTAAATTTAAAGAACTCTAGAATTGCAACTAAGCGTTAGAATCCTATCAATTCAACTCCAAATGATACCAAATTTTGCAGACAAGTTCTAAATAACATAATGGACCTATACCAAGTTCCAAAATCACATTCGTTACATGGACTTCTGTCAAAACCCTAAGGATCTTCTTGGAGAGCTATGGAAGATCTTTTTGTGTGTGAATTTTCTTGAAAATGAGCAAAAAGAAGACTAAGTCGTCTATTTTCAGTAAGGTTGAAAAGTCAACCATATGCTTGCTTTACCAGCCTTCTTCTGACGCTCATATCGCTTTATGCGGACGCCGTATGAATGAATAGTCAAGAGCATTGGAAACAAAATGCCAATACCTTCAATTTTGTATATAATATGTCACTAAAGGACCTCATATAACACACAAAATTAATTGCTCAAAAGGTTTCATTACAAGGCAAATCCTTAGTCGATTTTTCCGCAACTTAAATCTAATTTTTCGCAAACTTTATATTCTATATCCAAACATCATATATAGGCATATTATGATTTTAAACTCATTTAATCATGCTTAGAAAGTCATTTACTCAATATATAACATCACAGAAATACGAGGGTGAATCTCCCCCTTAAGAACATTTGTTCTCGAATGTTGACTGAGGTATACAGAAGCACTAAGCAAAGATCTGTCACATACCCGGAGTCGTGAAGAGATGCTGATATCTGACACTCATATACTTCTTAGCTTCCCAAGTCATCTCTTCCACATTATTGCTCCGCCATAACACTTTCACTAAAGGAATATCTTTCGTCCTCAACCGACGAACATACCGATCTAAAATGGAAATTGGTAGCTCCTCATAAGTCAAATACTAGGTGATCTATACATCATCAACTGGAACAACTCTAGAAGGATCTCCAACACACTTGTGAAGCATGGAGACTTGAAGCACTAGATGTACCTCCTGAAGGTTTGGTGGAAGGTAACGTGTATGCTACATGACCAACTCGTTTGATGATCTGGTATGGACCTATATACCTAGGAATAAGCTTGCCCTTCTTTCTAAACCTCATAATTCCTTCCATAGGTGACACCTTTAGAAATACCAAATCACCAACCTGGAACTCTAGATATCAGTGTCGGTGGTCTGCATATGACTTCTGTCAACTCTGGGCTGCTATCAGTCTCTCCATGATTAGCTTAACCTTATCCACTACCTTTTGGATTAAATCTAGGCCTATCAACTAAGACTCACCAACTTCGAACCATCATATGGGCGATCTACACTTGCACCTGTACAAAGCTTCATAAGGCGCTATCTGCATGCTGGAATGATAACTATTGTTGTATGCAAACTCTATGAATGGTAAGTGTTCATTCCAACTGCCTTTAAAATCTAACACACACGCCCTTAACATTTCCTCAAGCATTTGTATGGTTTGTTCGACGTGTCCATCTATCTAGGATAAAGAGTTGTACTCATATTATCCTGTTTGCCCAAACCTTTCTGGAATGGTCGCTAGAAGTTAGCTCTAAAATATGTGCCTTTGTCTGAAATGATAGATACGGGAACACCATGGAGGCATACAATCTCCCTGATATACAATCTAGCATAATCTTCTACTGTATAGGTAGTTCTAACGGGTAAGAAATAAGTTGATTTAGTAAGACTGTCAGCTATAACACAAATAGAATCATACATGCTCCACATACGAAGCAAGCCTATGATAAAGTCCATATTCACTACTTCCCACTTCCATGTTGGGACATCTATCTTCTGTAACAAACCGCTAGGCTTCTGCTGCTCAAACATTACATGTTGGAAATTAGGACACTAGGCCACGAACTCTGCTATGGCACGTTTCATTCCGTCCACCAGTAAATCCAATTAAGATCATGGTATATCTTAATAGAGCCTGGATGACCGTTTTTTTTCCAGTGTACTGTGGCCAGTAATAAGCTAAATCGTGAATTAATGTCCCTTGAACTCCATTAAATACCGGCTCATTTCCAACCACATTGTGCAACTTCTTTATCTCTTCTTCTTGTTTTGGCTCCAATAACCAGCATAAGTTCTTGGCATTAGCAAAATAACTCAATGATTGATAACCACTGAATGTAATGTCACACATGTTGCCCATCTTTCGCCAGTATGATTCATACATTACTAGATCACCAACAGTCACCATTAGAGTTTGTACCACTACTCATATGCCTAATTCTAAAGTATGGGAATTGTGCCTTATCCATTTGATAAGCTCTTCTTGCTTCAGCTGGTAATTCAAAAACTTGAGATAAAATCCTTGCCTCTGTAGAAATTTGCGAGTTGGCTCCAAATTTGGCTAAGGCATCAGCAATTTCATTTCCTTCTCTGTAGCAATGATGGACTTCTATGTTCAAGGATTGTGTAATTTGAGTCATGTACTTGATGTCATCTGTAAGCTCTCAAGGAGGTTTATAAACACCCTTCATCATATTGACAGTCATGAGAGAATCCATCTCTAGGATGCAGTTGGTTACATTGTTTTGCTTGTACCAATTAAGATCATAGAGTGCTGCCTGAACTTCAGTTTGGTTGTTAGTACAGAATTGAAGATCTTTTGCAAATGTCATTATCAAATCTCAATTTATGTTCCTAACCACTCCTCCAATTCCTGCATTTCTCTTTGTAATATTACTGCTTCCATCAGTATTTATTTTTAGCAAACCTTCTGGTGATTTATTCCATATAACTGGAGTGCTTGTGATTCTTGGCCTAAAATCTTCCATGTAAGAACAAATTTTATGCCATTGCCATTTCATATCCACAGTAGCCCCTCTCTTCTTCATGTATACCTTCATATGAAATAAAATAGAATGTCTTAGTTTTGCAATCATAGCATTTATGTTTCCATACCTGATAGATCATCTATGTCTCCATAGTTCCCAACAGAATATGATAGGAACTACTTGACATAATATTCTTTGGATATCATTCTTATTCTGAAAGTTGCTCCATTCTTTTAAAGTATATGCAATTGAATGGCATCCTACTTTAATTCCCAGAGGACCTGCAAAGAAATTCCAAGTTAGAAAAGCAATATCACTAGTAAGAAGAATATGAGAAATAGTTTTTTTCTTGGGATGTAGACAACAAGAGCATCTGGAAACTATATTATGAACAAATCTCTTTATGGTTTCATCCACAGGAAATCTACCCTTAATAGCTCTCCAAAGAAAGAAAGACATTTTAAATTGAACATTCTTTTTCCAAACATCTTTCCACATATTATCCATATCCCTTCTTTTACTAATGCTATTAAAAGCAGAGGAACAAGTAAAAGTCCCATTAGAAGTCTCAGTCCAGACAGGAGTGTCATTAATATATTTATCGCTAATAGGAATATGTTTAATATGATTCAACAGATTATTAGGAACCAGACTAGTAATAGTGTTTATATCCCATGCCTCATCCTTGATACAATCCCTAATCTTCATATTATCAGGTTTTCTGTTACCATTGATATAAGCACCTAGTGGTCCAAGCCCTATCCAATTATCCCACCAAAAGGAGCTATCACCATCATTGATCTTCCATAGGATATAAGGTTCAATATTATTTTTGATATGCATCATTTCCTTCCAGGCAGCAGAATGTTTAGATTCCAAGACCTTTGAAACAGGGTGACTTCTGGGAGAGTTTTTAGCTCTCATAAATTTTACCCATATGTTGTTTGCAACTCTGAACATCCACCATCTTTTAGTAGAGAAAGCCTTACATAAGTTAGTCAGATTTTTAAAACCAACACCACCTTCATCAGTAGGATAACAAAGGTTCCTCAAAGAGCTCCAATGATATTTGTTCTTCTTTACAGATTTTTCCAAGAAGAAATTGGAAAAATAACTATCTAATTGTTCGAGAATTGTCTTAGGAGGGGTAACAATGGCAAGAATATGAAGTATTTGAGATTTTAGCACATGTTTAATGATAGTAGCTCTTCCACCAGGGGAGAGTACATGGCCCTGCCAACCTCTTATCTTATTCATAACATTCCTGGCAATATCTGTATAGTAACAAATTTTCTTTCTTCCAGAATAGATTGGACAACCCAAATACTTGAAAGGGAATGATTTATATCGATAACAAGTTAGCCTCTGAATCATATTATGTCTACTATCATGAATATAATTGGAAGCTAAGTAGAAGCTTTTATCCTTGTTGATCTCCTGCCCTGAAGCTTCTTCGTATCTCCTTAAAGTTTTCATTACCTACTTTATGGAGTATTTATCTCCAGAAGTGAAGATCACTATGTCGTCTGCATAAACAAGATTATTGATTCTAGGACCTCTGTTACCTGGATGACTTATGTACCTGGAATGATGTGCCTCTGCCATAATTTGCCTGCGTAATCCTGCAACGTCTAGAACACAAAGCCTATCTTTATATTTGAGAACTTCATCACTAGTAACTCTGTAAGGTAACTTTTTCTTTTTCCTGGTTACCTGATTGTACTCAATTAGAACTGGATCTTCATATTGCCTCTATTTCACTTCAGTCACTAAACAAGTGGTAGCTGTATTCTGATACAAGTAAGCTAAACTCCCTTTTCTCAGGATGCAAGTAAGCTAAACTCCCCCATCGACTTATGACTGAGAGCGTCAGCTACAACATTAGCTTTACCTGGATGATAACAAATGTCAACCTCGTAGTCATTTAAAAGCTCTAAGAACCATCTCTACCGCAAGCTCAACTCCTTGTGCTTACATATGTGCTGGAGGCTCTTATGATCTGTATAGATATCAACATGAACACCATAAAGATAGTGCCTCCAAATCTTGAGTGCATGAATAACCGCTCCTAGCTCCAAGCTATGTGTAGAATAATTTTGCTCGTGCTTCTTCAACTGTCTGGAAGGATAAGCAATTACCTTTCCGTGATGTATCGACACACAACCTAGGAAAATTCGAGAAGCGTCACAATAAATAACATAACCCTTAGTTCCCTCTAGAAGTGTAAGAACTAGAGTTGTAATCAGCATGTTCTTCAACTCTTGGAAACTTCGCTCAGATTCATCTGACCACTGAAATTTTGTTGCTTTTTATATTAATCTAGTCAGTGGCGTTGGAAGGGAAGAAAACCCTTTTTACGAATCTCCTGACATGCCAAACCTAGAAAACTACATACCTCAGTTGGCGTCATAGGTTTGGGACAATTCTTCACTGCCTCTATCTTCTAACCATCTACTTTGATGCCCTCTGATGATACTATATGTCCAAGAAATTCTATCGAACTCAATCAGAATTTGCACTTCAAGAATTTAGCATACAACTTCTAGTCCCGAATGCTACCCAACATTGTGCGTAGATGCTCTGCATGTTCTTATTCAGATATAGAATATACTAGAATATCATCAATAAACTCTATAACAAACAGGTCCAGATAAGGCCTAAACACGTTATTCGTAAGATGTATAAATGCCGCTGGTGCATTAGTCAACCCGAACGACATCACTAGAAACTCGTAATGGCCATACCTGATTCTGAATGCTACCTTTGGTATGTCGTACTCTCTGACTCTAACGTGATGGTAGCCTGATCTCAATACTATCTTCGAGAAGCACTTGGCACCCTGAAGCTGGTCGAACAAGTCATCACTTCTGGGAAGGGGATATTTGTTCTTGATCGTAACCTTGTTTAGCTGAGTGTAATCTATGCACATACATAGGGAGCCATATTTCTTTTTCACAAATAAGACTAGTGCTCCCCAAGGAAAAGTGTTGGGTCTAATGAAACCCTTATCTAACATATCATTCAACTGCTCTTTGAGTTCCTTTATATCTGTTGGTGCCATCCTGTAAGGTAGAATAGATATTGGTTGTGTACCAGGCACTATATCGATGGGAAAGACAATTTTTTGCTCTGGAGGAAGACCTGGAAGCTCATCTAGAAATACGTCAGGGAACTCATTCGCTACTGGAACTGATTCAAGAGTTGACATTCCCTTATCTATGTCTCGAACATGAACTATATGATATGAGCATCCCTTGGAGATCATCTTCATCGCCTTAAGGTACAAAACAAATCTATCTTTTGGCGATATAGAAACACCTTTCCATTCTATAACTGACCCTCCCAAGAAATTGAAATAGACTATCTTTTCTCTACTGTCAACATTAGCATAGCAAGAAGACAACCAATACATACCACGTATAACATTAAATTCAACCATTTCTAACTCAATCAGGTCAGTTGTAGTAATATTGTCGCCAATCACAATAGTGCAACTTCCAAAAATACGCCTAGCTACTATTGAATCACTAACTGAGGTGGATACCTCAAAAGGTTTAATGGTTTCTGGTTCTATCCCACACTTAGTAGAAACAAAGGGAGTAACATATGATAATGTAGAACCATGATCTAACAACACATACACATTATGATAATTCACTGATAAAGTACCTGTAACCATGTTTGGTGAAGCTTCCCAGTCCTGACGACCAACCAGAGCGTAGGTGTGGTTCTGGGGAACGCCTGTAGTAGGAGCTTCACCTCAGCCTCTACCCCCGCCTGCTGGTGTCTGAGGAACTTACCCTTGCAGGTGTGCTGGTGCTGAAGAAGCTGCAACTAATCTTGATGGTTGAGTTGTACCACTACCACCCCTTAACGGGCAATATCTCATAAAATAGCCTGACTCGCCACAGACATAACATGCATCTATACCCAACTGACATCGGCCCAAATGGTGTCTACCACAATTAGAACACCAAGGGTAAAGTAAACCACCCTTACTAGAAACACTTCGATGTTGGGATCCTGAAGCCTGTGATGCCTGACTAGCTCTAGACTGTGGGGGTCAATTAGATCTCGGCCCCTAAAATTGTGAAGGAGTACTAGTTGTTGGTTGCTTGACACACTGCTATCTACTAGCACCAGATGTCTCACCAAACGAACCAGAAAATCTGCCTCTCTTGCTTGAGGTTCAATCTATGTCAACCATCTTTTTCTATTTCCTTTCCTCAAGTGCGAAGGCGAATGCCTGAATATGTGCAATATCCATACTCAACTGCATAAATACAATCATACACTCATTACTAATTGAGTACTAAGTATCGCGACATACCTGTGTACCCTGTCCTCCATGTCTGATACAACTACAGGAGCAAACCTCGTCAAAGAATTGAAGCGAAAGTTGTATTCTACAATGTTAAGAACTGTTCCAATCGTGCTCTACGTGTCTCTATAGATAAGTAATGGTGGAGGAATTCCTCTGAGAACTCCCACCATATAACTGGATCAGCGTTTGCTCCCCTAGACATCTCCTAAGTGGTATACCAACCTACCGTTAGATCTTGTAATCTATATACTACCAATTGAACTGACTCTCTATCTGTGGCATGCATAACTCTGAGGGCTCTGGCTACTCTACCTAGAAAATCCTAGGGAGGATCTGTTGTACTAGATCCAGTGAAAGCTAGAGGCTCTAATCTAAGGAAATCATGAATCCTAGAACCCGTATCATCACCCTGAGGACCTGTATGCTACCGTCTGGCCTAAGTAGCTACAATCCTAGTCAATAATCTGACGACCTCCATAGTTTTGTCATGTAGAGGAGCTAGAGGTACAGTAGTTGGAGCACCCCTAACCTCTCCCTGAACATATAGAGTCTGTGTAGCTCCAGATGGAACCTCATATCTGGACTCCTCATTCTCATCTAACTCAGGGGGTACTCTGCTAGTGCTTTGGCCAGCAATGTCTTTACTCTTCTAGGCAGTTGTGAGTCTCTCCAGTGGCATCACTACATATAAGACATTTCGTTAGAAGGCTGAATTCTTATAACATAGCTCTATAGCATGATCTAGAGAAGAAAGAAGGACAATTATCATATAATGCCCTGTAGCCTCTTGTTCCTAAGTATGGCGTGTAACATACTCCTGAACAAGACTTTACTAGAGACGGCCTGTAGATACCCTAGGACTGAACTGCTATGATACTATGTTTGTCACAACCTAGCCGAGAGCCGCGACGGATAACCGACACTAAGTGCCGATCATCACTAAACCTGCTAATAATCTACTAATCATGAATATAAACTGATAAACTGAACAAGCATAAGCATAGATAATATGAATTGTATAAGCTGGAAAGCCGCCAAGGCTAACATAAGCTGAAATATAAAGACATACTAGTTGCATAGGTGCATATCAACAGGACTTTAAGAGTGTTGAACTGAACAAGTACTGGAGGGGACAAGGCCCCGCCAAACCCAAACTATTTGACTGTACACATACCAAAAGATAAGTAACTCCGAGAGTAAGCGAAGTGACTCCAACAGCTGGTGGATAGCCTATTGATGTGGCTCAAGCGCTTATCTATATGTACCTGCGCATCATAAAATGCAGTGCCCAGGAAGGGACGTGAGTACGATATGTACAAAGCATGTAGATTGGAAAATATAGTAAAGAATACTAAAGTATGATTGTAAGCTAGAAATCTGAATATAAGTTGAAAGCTAAATAAGAGTCTGAACTAGTAACTGATCTGGAACTGAACCGAGAAGCTTAAGCTGAAACCGTGCTGAAATTGAACTACTATGTGAACTAGTACTTGTATGGCATTATGATCTATATTCCCATAATCAGGTAACTGTAAATCTGAACTAACCTCATGTACAGTCATGCAATGCAAATTGTAGCTATATATGCATATATAACATATAGGACTGGCGTTATGGGCTATATCCCCCCAGCAGGTAAATATATAATATATAGGTCCGCCTTGTGTTATGGGATATCTCCCCCAGTATATAATGAATAGGACACGCTTTATTTATGGGCTATATCCCTCTATCATAATTAGATTTAAGCATGTATAAGGCATAACACACGTGGCAGCATCATATGGACTCAAGGCATCATGAAGGAAACCATAAACGGGTTCACAAATGTAATATGATGCTCGTCATCCATAAGATTGACGGAGGATCCTATCCCTATTTTAAGGAGAATTGTAGTATGTAAATGAGATACTAAGGCTAATTAACTCATTAGAATCTCTCTAGATTCAATTTAGAACCAAGGAACTCAATATTTGTCCAACCCTTTGAATTTTTAAAATTTTCGGCAGAGTTTCCCCTAAACTTGGATGATACCCAAAAACCCAGCAAGCACCACAATATACATGGGAATGGATACAAAGAAAATATTATCACATCAAACTAAAGAAGATTTAGTTATCCACAATAGTGTCAAACGATCGATAAAACAGAA